AACAAAAATCCTCACCACTGGACCAATAAACAACATTCTTATCAATGGAGAAAAGATTGAAGTTGTCAAGGACTTCATTCTTCTTGGATCATGGACACTCATGGATACAGCAGTCAAGAAATCACACAACATATTGCATTTGGCAAATCTGCTGCACAAGACCTTTTTAAAAGTGTTGAAGAGCAAGGATGTCAGCTTGAGGACTAAGGTACGCCTGACCCAAGCCATGGTATTTTCAATAACCTCATATGCATGCAAAAGCTTGGCAGTGAATAAGGAAGACCATAGAAGAATTGATGCTTTTGAGTTCTGGTGTTGGAGGGGAATACTGAAAGTACCATGGGCTGTCAAAAGAACCACTTTGGAGGAAGTGCAGTCAGAGTGCTCCTTGGAGGCCAAATGGCCAAACTTCGTCTCTCATACTTCAGACATATTGTCAGGAGGGTCCAGTCACTGGACAAGGATATCATGTTTGGTAAGGTGGAGGGACAGAGAAAGAGAGGAAAACCCCAATGTGATGGACTGGCCAAGTGGCAGCATTGATGGACTCAAGTGTGGCAACAGTAGTGAGGTTGGCTCAGGATCGGGCAGTGTTGTTTCTTTCTGCTGTGCATAAGGTCGCTGTGAGTTGGTGCCGACTCAACGGCACCTAACAACAGCAACAATTACTTTTCTATATTAAAGAGCAAATATTACAGTCTCTTCTGTCTTCCACTGTGTTTTCTTTTTTAATGGATGATCTTGCTGTCATCCCACAGCTTTGCAGTCTTTGATCATTAGTGCCTAAGCATCAAATCTCTTCTTGAGACAATCTCTAAATTCAGGTGGGGTGCACTCAAGGTTCTATTTTGACTCTTGTGGACTTGTTTAAATTTTCTTCAGCTTCAGCCTGAACTTTCATGGGAGCAATTAATGGTCTGTTCTGCAGTCAACCTTGGCCTTGTTTTGGCTGATGATATGGAACTTTTCTATTGTTTCTTCTTACAGATATAGTCAATTTGATTCTGGTGCATTCCATATAGAAAGGTCTACATGTATATAGTTGCTGTTTATGTGGATGATAAAAGATATTTGCAATAAGTATGTCATTGTTATTAAGTGCCGTAGAGTTGGTTATGACTCATAAAGACCTTATATAGGATTTCCAAGGAGTGGCTGGTGGGTTTGAACCACTAATCTTGGGGTTAACAGGCCAGTGCTTATTCCACATCGTCAGACTAGGACTATGAATAAGTTGTTGGTCTTGCAAAATTCTGTCATGCGATTTCCAGTATCATTATATCACCAAGGACTTATTTTCCAGCTACTGATTTCTTTCTGTTTCCAACTTTTCTATTCCAATCACCAATAATCATCAACACATCCTGATGGTATGTTTGATTAATTTCAGTCTGAAGAAGGTAGTAGAATTTGTGTTTCACCATTACTGACTTGAGTGGTTGGTGCATAAATTTGGATCTTAACTAGTTTTCTTTGTAGGCATATAGATGTTATCCTATCACAGACAACGTTGTAATTCAAGATAGACTTGAAATGCTCTTTTCCATGATGAACATGACACCGTTCCTCCTCCATTTGTCATGCCTGGCATAGTAAATCATATGATTGTTTGATTTAAAATGTCTAAAACCAGTCCATTTCAGTTTACTAATGCCTAGGATATTCATCTTTATGAATTCCATTTCATTTTAGATGACTTCCAATTTCCCTAGATTCATATCATGTGCTGATTATTAATGGATGCTTGCAGCTCTTTCCTCTTGATTTGTACCTCATCAGCAAATGAAGGTTCCTAAAGCTTTGCTCCATCCATGTCTTTAAGAACACTCAACTTTGAGGACACAACTCTTTCCTTGTCATATTTTAAGTTCCCGCCAACCTGAGGGGCTCATTTTCTGGCACCATGTAAGTCAATGTTCTGCTGCTGTTTACAAGGTTTTCAGTGACTAACCATTCAGAAGTGGTTTGTCTCTCCTTCTTCCTAGTCTGTCTTATTCTGGGAGCTCTGCTGAAACCTGTCAATCATGGATGACCCTGCTGGTATTTAAAATACTAGACGCATAGCTTCCAACATGACAGCAACACAAAACCACCAGAATATCATAAACAGTCTGACCAGTGGTGGACTCCAGATTCTGGAGCTTCTCACTCATGACATGCTATTCTCTTCCTGATGTCTGCCCACTTTCTTACCTATCCCCATTACAAAATGATTATCCTTCACACTCTATTCTTTAAAGGATTAAGAACAGCTCTAGAATGTGCCCACAGCATCCTAACTTGAAAGCATATCAGCAAACCTATGCAGATGATTATATGTGAATGAAAACACCACCACAAAACAAAAAACAGAACAGAGTTATACAAACAACACAGCAGTAACCCAAGTTTCTGATCTCAGGAAGTAAGGAGAAAATTATTCATGAGTTGAATTTCTAGCATTATCAACACATCTTGATTGCATTAGACATAAACCCAGATCAGCAAAATAATGACATTTGAGGTCCTAGGGGATTCTGTTTGGGACTTGTCTGTACCAGGATAGTTTCATCTCCAAGGTATGACTTAAGAGTTACATAACACTCTTTGTCATCAGTGTTTGGTCCAATGGGGCCAAAAGGTACATGGGACAATTGCTATGTTCTTGTCTTTAATGAGGCTCTCAGGGGATCTGATCCCAATGGCCTTGGAGAGCCTTGTAAATGCTTGATCTGATTCCCCTAAACATCCTTCCTGCACAGAGACTAAGACCATGAACCTCTACTCTTCATTTGTTCCAAGACTCTCTCCACAGTAGAGAGAAGCAATGGGCAGACATACAGAAGTGAAGAACACATGATAGGTAAGATTACATCAGAGAGACTTTTTGATATTAGTTTATTAAGACATGAAGTCCTTTAAAGAAATTCTAGTGTTAAACTTGCAGATTTAGCCAGCAATAGTAAGAGTCCTGAATCCATTTCTTGATCTTGAGATAAATCTAGTAATAATCAGCTGATTCTCTGGCATTTTCATGAGCTACTAAGCCCTGGTAGCAAAGTGCATTATGAACTGTGTTTCTAATTCCAGGTCAGTAGTTCAGTAGTTCAAATCTACCAGTTGCTCAATAGGAGAAAGATGAAGTTTTCTGCTGTACTAAAGATTTGCAGCCTCTGAAGCCCTACACAAGGCTGCTACATGTCTGAACTGATTTGGTGGCTACAATCACCAATACAAGGCATGGAGAAATGTCAAAAGGGAAATACACAACCACAGAGATGAGCTGAGTATCTCTGTGTGTGCTTTATGCTTCTGGTTGTTAGGTGACATTGAGACTGTTCAGACTTAGAGTGACTCTGTATAGGTTTCCAAGGAAAGGCTTGTGAGTTTGAACCACAGACATTGAGATTCAAATCAAACTTTTGGTTCAGTGTTTATCCTACTGCATCACTGTTTTACAAAATCAAAAGGTTAAGTCCAGTAGAACCAGTACCTTCTAAAACAGGGAGCCAGAATGGGTGTAGGAAATGGGTAGATCCTGACTACGAAACTCTGATAAAATAAACAAGACCATGGCTGGTAACTGACTTGTCCCTCAGTTCTTAGGTTTTTACTCCATGTCTCTATTGTCTGCATCTGAAACTAGACCATGAGTGAGGCAAGTCGGTCAAATGTCTCTGAGTTCCTCCTCCTGTGGCTCTCCAGGCAGCCCCAGCAGCAGCAGCAGCTCCTCTTCGGGCTCTTCCTGAGCATGTACCTGGTCACAGTCCTGGGAAACCTGCTCATCATCCTGGCCATCAGCACTGACTCCCACCTGCACACCCCCATGTACTTCTTCCTCAGCAACCTGTCCTTCGTGGACATATGCTTCTCCTCCACCACCATCCCCAAGATGCTGACCAACCACATACTTGGCATTCAGTCCATCTCCTTCCCTGGATGTCTCACACAGCTGTATTTTTTCAGTGTGTTTGGGGACATGGACATTTTCCTCCTGTCTGTGATGGCCTATGACCGCTTTGTTGCTGTATGCCACCCCTTACACTACACAACAAAGATGACCCCTCAGCTCTGTACCCTGCTAGTCAGTGGGTCTTGGGGAATTTGCATTCTGAATGCTCTGTTGCATACTCTGCTGACAGCTCGACTCTCTTTCTGTGCAGACAACATGATCCCTCAGTTCTTCTGTGATATAGCTGCTCTCATGGACCTCTCCTGCTCTGACACACACCTCAATCAGATGGTGATTCTTACTGAGGGGGCCATTATAGTGATCACCCTATTTGTTTGCATTCTAGTTTCCTACATTTGTATCACATGGGCTGTCCTGAGAGTCTCTTCCACAAAGGGGAAATGGAAAGCCTTCTCCACCTGTGGCTCCCACCTGGCTGTGGTTTCCCTCTTCTATGGCACCATCATTGCTCTGTATTTCAACCCTTCATCCTCCCACTCAGATGAAGAAAACACTGCAGCTACTGTGATGTACACAGTGGTGACCCCCATGCTGAACCCTTTCATCTACAGCCTCAGGAACAAGGACTTGAAAGGAGCGCTAAGAAAGGTGATCAGCAGAAAAAGGCTTGCTCTTTTAGTATAGTGGTTATGAATCAGGCTGCTAATCTCACGGTCAGCAGTGCAAAACTTCCAGCTATTCCATGGGAGAAAGATGAGGCTTTCTGCTCACGTGAAGATTTACAGCCTTGGAAACCCTGTACAGGGTTGCTACGAGTCAGAACCGACTCCACAGCACATAACAACAACAACAACCTGATGAACGCATCAAAGTTGAATGTCATTCCTAAACAAAATCAACTGAGTTTAAGGTAGCAGTGTTTTTGTCAGACTGATCAGAAACAAACACATTGCTCAGGGCACATGCAAGGATAGTGTTACTTAGTCATTAGTAGACTGATTTCACCTGTAACACTGCCCTATCTGCCATGTAAGGAGACTTCATTTTGTCAGTTATTTTATACCCAAAGTTTTCTTTTTTAGTGATCTTTTCACAGGACACATTCTCAAGTATTTCTGTTGTTTAATTAAATTTGTTTGTTAAAACTACTCAATTGTAATAATTCTGTAATAATCGTACTAGGAAACTACTACTTAGATTGTGTAGTCCCTTTGTCCTTGTAAAACTTGTGTAGTGTGGCATCCAGTTGTTCAAGAATGAAAATTATGACCTGAGTTTCCCTGTGGTTTGGAATTACCTGCCTAGTCTCTAAGTCAGTGACTCAGACATGAAACTTGCTTAATAAGTTATTGTACTCAGTGTCCGGGTTTGTTTTATTTTTTTATTTTTTGGTGTGTCTATAAGTTTCTTTCTTTCTTTTTAAGTAATGTCTCTTCTAATGTATCTGCTTCTGGTAAGTATAAATTCAATGTGGCATTCTTTTCTGGGAAGAAGTGTGATGCCTCCACCTTACATTCATTATTATAAGGAAAGCTTTCTTATGAAACAGTACATCATTACTATAGAATATTTTAGAAAAAGAAATGATCAAGAATGAAGTGTAAAGTTCTAATAAGACGATCATTCAATGAAATCTTCATGAATATTTTTTGTATTTCTATCCCATCTTTTTTCTTTGCACATGCAACCAATATACTTATATACATATCCCTTTGTAAGGAGCTCTGGTAGCCGAGTGGGTTATGAGTTGGGCTGCTACTTGCAAGGTCACCAGTTTGAATCTACCAGCTGCTGCAAGGGAGAAAGATAAGACTGTTTGACCCCATAAAGATTCACACATCCAGAAACACTATACAGGGGTGCTGTGAATCAGAGCTGACTCCACGGCACACAAGCACCACACCA